AACATTTATGACACAGTTGTTGTCAGATTTCTTCGGTGATTTCAAATATGAAATTTAATTGTAAGCATAGTGAACCGTTTTGGAGAATTTCATGTTTCCCCATTCAAAGAGATAGGAGTTGCACTTGCATGCCGGAGAGGCATTTCAAAGATGGCCGCCGAGTGACATGATTTGTCTTAAAAGGACTTTGGTAAACTTCCCTCTCATCTTCCAGTGAAGTGACGTGTCGATCGTCTCTTATTCCCGATTATGCCGTTAAACTGCTTTGCGCCTCTTCCTCCGCTATGATGCGCCATTTACTTTCCCTAAACCGCCACACAGCTCATATCCGCCAAGATGATAAATATCATTTTATTTCAGTTAGTTTTTCAATTACTGTTGTTTCCTTTCGTTTGAAATTTTTATTTAATTTCAGTTTTTGATCAACTGTTTTCACCTTAGTTCGCTTAAAAAAATAACATTGATTGAGGCTCACTGTTTTACTCTTTTACTTTCACTCTGACAAAGTGAGTTCCCTGCAGAGTTTGGCACCAACTCTAACTGAACAGAATAAACCAGCTAAACAAGGTCTTCAGGATAAGTAGGTCTGTTGGAGCAGGTTGGAGCTAAACTCTGCAGGACTGTGGCCCTCCAGGAAGGAGTTTGACACCCTACTATAGATCATTACATATGAGTTATAGTGTAATTTTGAAGATATGAAAAATCACAGCAATTAAATTTGTGTTGATCTGTGTATCATCAGGACACTGTTCTGTACTCAATAATTATTTCTAATTAGTTATTTGCAAACATTGTGAAGTCACAGCTTTTCAGTGAACAAATGGTGTTGTAATCAATTTAAAATGGTTTAAAAATCTGTTATTTTTCTCTCTGTATATATGTGTGATTTTTTTTCCACTAACAGCGGCACATAGAAGTTCAGAATCTGTTTATCCTAAGTTATTTTGGTTATATTATTTTCACTCAAAATCCCCCTTTTCCCTATTAAATATACATTTAATTTTGTTTCTTTAATATGACTGTATCTATTATTTTATTGTTACAAGTTAAGATGTATGATTTTCAAGATTTGATCAAGGAAGTGCATTGTCACTTTAAGAGTATATACTTGTTCTC